CAAGAAGTCATCCAGAGTATGACCGATTATTTAAAATTCACCCCCTAATATCTCACTTTAACAAATCGTTTTCAAGACTTTAGCAAAAAATATTTGTCTTGACGAGTCCCTCATGAAGTACAAGGGGCGCCTGCAGGGGTGTCCCGAGGCTGGGTGAAACCCAGACCGGAGACCGGGTGACACCCCACCATGACGCCATTGCGCGTGCGCAGTCTTACTGACGCATGCCGGCGGTTATCTTGGTGATGGACACCGGCAGAGAGAGGAGGGGCTGTTAATCACGCCGGGTCCCCTCTCACCTGACACTGTCGGGCTCTCAGTCTGTGACAGAGTGCCTGACTTCAAGGGGGTGACACCAAAATGAGTCATTTTGGTGGCACCCGGGTGCCGGCCGCACCCCGCTGTGACGCCACTGTCTTTCGCACTCATATACCCCCAGCATGGCTCAGAGAGAATACAATAGACGGCTTCATAGTGTAAAACCACTCAGGTAAAAACTCACAGGTCAAAGCTCAAGATGGCAGGCAGGTGTCCTCCACTTCCTTGTTAACATGATGACATCAGCATAGGCACCCACCCGACATGTTTCATCACTAGACTTTCTCAAGGGGAAGGCAACGCTATCTGACCATTTTTACTAGATGGTCCAACAGTGCTGGCGAGTGAGCTGGAACCTTGCTGAATTGAACACGGAAGTCACTGAATACACTATTCTTTAGATTGTGGACTGGATCACTTCAGTGGATGTTTTTGTGTAATTGCTGAACCACTTTATTGCTATCGCTATTCGGGGGAAAGTATTTTATATAAAGTCCTCATAAAGAAACACTTTGAAAACACATCAGATCTCAATGGGGAACAATATCATGCTAGATATCTACTGTATACTGGACTGGGTAATGTGTTGGGAACAAAAGGATACCAAGGAAATTAAAAATGATCAACCTACAGAGGGCTGAATTCAGAGACACCCCAAAAATCTAAGTGAACAAATGATGCAGCAGGCTAGTCCATTGTGCTGAAGTTTAATTGCAGCAACTCAAAATGGTACT